AGCAAGCTCGGGCTGTGACCTGTCGAAGTTCTATTCTGAGAATGTCATCTATTTTGAGTTCTCATCCCCTCAGTTCAATGAACAGTCAAATTTGACAGGGAGTCAACTTGAGAACTCCAGCTAAATTTCGATGGTTTCATAATGCTCAACAATCGATATACACACACATATATATATATGAACAAAGAAACTATCTAGCATAGGTAGAAGAGCAGGTATCATAATATATACCTAACAACAAGATACTCTACCAATATTCTCATTACCCTCGAAGTCAACAATCAAACAAAAAGTCCACATTGTAGGAAAGGCAGAACAACACATGAACCTTCTACGATCTTTAGACAAAGTCAATCGAATACGTTTCCCATCTGGTCAGATGACACCAATAATAAAAATAAACTCGACCAAGACAGCGAGCCCCTGAACTACCCTCTTACCAGATAACTCCATGGCCACGCCTCTTCTTTGCCACCGTCGGCCACTGAATGACTGAACTCCGCGACTCCATTTCGGAGGTGGAAATTGCCGATCCTGGAAGAAACGTAAAAATCAATTGACCAATCCCAAGTAAACGCAATAAAACAAGAATCGCGGAGCCAACTTCCGGATTCAAGATCATAGGAGAACGCTACTCTCTACCTTCTCAATAGCTAAAAAACGAACGTACCCATTTCCTTCTGACCTTGCGCGCACACGCACGCATGCATCAAAGAAACAGAACTCAAGAAAATCACAAACTTCAAAATCAGCGCAGAAGTCAAGAAGAAGCAGCAAAAATGTCGAGCTCCTCAAGACTCGTTTCCGATCGTCCGCCGCCCATCTTCAGCACCCCCATTCACAAGAGGCTGGCACGGATCCGTCCCATCATACGGGTGACGAAAGCGACCCAGGAATCAAAAGAAAAAACCCAAGATGTTCAAATTCGATCAAGATCGCCCAGCGCGAGAGATATTTGGGTTCCAAGAAAGCAGGAGAAAAAGAACGAGCAAGGAAAGCGACAAATTCATGGCATTGCAACAGGCATGGTTGTGCCATTTTTGCGCTCATCTCTCTCTCTCTCTTTCCTTCTTCACCTTCTTCATCTTCATCTTCATCTTCTTCTTCTTCTCCCTGCGATGCGAATGGTTGAATTTCCAGCGTGTGACTCGATTCCCGCTAAAGATTAACAAAAACATATTAATATTATTTTCCTTATATATATACAACTTCTTCTTTTTTTGTTTCGTTCGAGGGTTTGGAACCGTTTTTTAAGAACAATTTAACGGTTCCCGATGCATCCTAAAACGCCGACATTGATTCTTTCCGAGGGAATGTTCTTCATACTCCACCGGCTCCAAAGCATTGTATTTTGCCTTTAACCTTCCTCCAACATGAAAGGCGTTGGTAGGATTGTTTAAAACACAAGTAAAATGGACAACACTAGGGAAGATAACAAGGACAAATGATTCCTAAACTTAGGTATTGAAATATTGTACCTGAACTTCTAATTTATTTAATATGGTCCTAGACTTTTGATAACAAATTAAAAGTTCATAGACGATATTGCACTTTGGGCTAGAATTCAAGAACCACATTGCATATTTAATCATAGTTCGAATAATAGAATAATGGCAAGTTGTAATGATATTAATAGGGGTGTTGTTAACAAGCATCCTCCAATATACTTAGTTCAATTTTCAAAGCATCGGTTGTGCATAACACAAGTGTGATCAATGTATTGGAAGCCATAAGATTTCCTTACTTAGCTACTTAACAAGTATTTGGGCAACAAAATCTTATGAATAAGTATAGAAGAATCGAACTTTAGATTCTCGGATTTTAATTCCACATTAAGGCTCCGTTCGTTTCGCGAAAAATATGACATTTTTGGAAAAAAAATTTCAAAAGTCATTTTCCAAGAAAATGACAATATTTTTCGGTATTCGGTTGAAACCTAAAATAGATCCTAAAATATTTTTCGTCGTTTAACATGGAAAATTTGATTTGATTTTTTGGCAAAAAATATATAAAAAAAATCGAATTTAATTATTTTTTCTTTTCTTTTTCCTTCTATCTCATGGGGTGGAGCCTCGGGCGAGGTTGAGCTCGAGACTCGACCGATTCCGACGAGTCTTGAGTTCGTTGGCCTCAAGCGAGCTTGAGACTCGCCTATGGCCACTTGCTAGCTATCGCCGGTGACTGGCCGAGGAAGAAACAAAAAGAAAAGGATAGAAAAAAATTAGAAATTTAGATTTTTTGAAAAATAAAATAATCAGAAATTTCTATTTTTTAAAAAATATTTTTATATGAACGAACGTTTCATTAATCAATGACTCGAACTCGAGTGCCGAGGACTCCCGCACGGCCTTTATGGACTCAAGCCTGATTCTTGGGGACTAGAGCTCGAGTGTTGGGGATATGAGCCTTTCTGGACACGGGCGCGGGTGCCAAGGCATAGGGCACAGGCACCAGTGGTTCGAGCCCAACCTTGATGGACCCGGACATGGGCACCGGGGGCCCGAGCTTAAGTAGTGAGATCTGGAGCCCAGCCTCAATGGACCAAAATTTTGCCTCGATGGACTCGTGCCCGAGTGTCAAAGACCTGGTCCCAACCTCGATGGACCCGGGCCTAGCCTTGATGGACTCAGCCCGAGCGTTGGAGACTCCGAAACTGGCGTTGGGGTTCCCAGGTTTAAACATAGAGTTTCGGTCCAAGCGTCGATACTTAATTATATTTTGAAAAATGTTTTTCAACTTTTTTTAAAGAGGAAATCATTTTTCTTAATTTAAGCTTAAGTTTTCCGATGACTAAAAAAATATTTTCCGTTGATTCATTTTTTTAAGCTAACTGAACATTGAAAAATAAGGAAATGTTTTCCATGAAACAAACGAAACTTAAGACATGCATCATATTTCGTAGTTATATTATTCTAAAAATATATTGTGAAGTGGCACATACTATAAAGCCGTAGCACTTCAAAGTTCAAAGCCGGAGTGGAATGGCTTCCTAATAGCTGCTCGGGAGGAGTTCGACAAATATAACCATGTAAAAGTTTTATTCTATTGGTCAAAACCACATGAAAAGTTGCGAGGCATCTTCTTACAAAACAGTAATATATTTACATGTCTAGCATTTCCATTACAGAGAGAACTTCAAAAAGCGGTTTAAATGCAAGATGCCCGCCAAAAGCAAAAGGAAGGAACTCCTCCGCCAGACACGACAGAGAAAGGAAACATCCTGGAAACAGCACCACCACCACCACGGCACCACCGTATTTATTCTTCATCTCCACTGTGTCATAAACGCACACGCACGCACGCGGCCGCAGCATCCCCGTTTGCAGTAGGGGAGCGTCTGTCTCGGTCGTCGTGTTGCATGCATCACTGCCTCTTCTGAGATCGCCATTGATACTGTCACCTGAAGCTGCACGCTTGCCACGTTCTTGAAGCGAGTCCCTGCATAACCAGTTGTTCGTTTAGATTCTTCTTCTCTTCTCTCTCTGCCTCGTTTGGCTCGTACTGTGTGTCCACGGACGCGCAACAGAGACGACAAGCGTGAAGGCGAAGAGCGGAGAGATAGAGAGAGATGGGTATACTGGTGACGATCTTCAACGGGGTTCGTCTGTTCGTGTCGACCCTGTGGGATCTTCAGGAAATGCGCTTCTCCATCATCTTCGACGACGTCAGCTCTGTCGCAGCTTCCATCATCATGGCGGCCATCTCTTGCGTTTTAGCTGCCAGACGACTCTGAAGAGAAGAAAGGTCCTGCTCTGTTCTGCTCTGCTCTGTTCTCTCTCTCGCCCTCATCACTGGTATCAGATGTGCTTCGAGGTAGAGTAAGATACGTATATATCATTGTAAATTTAAATGCTAATGATAATTAGTATCTCGTTGTTATTTCGAGGAGATCCTCTAATTGAATGGAGCTTAACAAAGAACACACCTTTTTAAAGCAGTTGTTAAGTAACCAAACAGGTAAAGTCTGCAACTAAGGTGCACTAAGCATCCTCGTAATCGGTACTAGTATATCGAAAATCTCTTTATTAAGTTTTCTTTATCTTTTGGCTGATGTAAAGTGATTTTAACTGTCGCTATTGGGGCACCTTGACATGCTAGTGCTTCACCTCAATGGAGTTCTTCATTTCAGAGCAGACAAGTGGTTGTTGAAGTTTCTTGATCAACCATCATTGATGGCATGAAATGTGCATGCACACCATGTGTAGTGGCAAGAGAGCGATGCCGATGCCGCATTGGCATGTTGGTCTTTTCTCGGTAATTTCATCTCTTCATGTCAAATTTGCCTGATCAACTTGATATCGCGAAGCTCGCACGAGAAAAAAGAAAAGAAAAAGATGGGAGAGCCCTTCTAGTCTATCCAGCGATTGAAGATGTGAGGAACATCACAGTATCCTAGAAAGCTTCACATAAAGAAAACTGATTTTTTTTTTGGCCGATAAGAATGAGCGACACGAAGATGGAGTTACAAGATTGATCGACAAGTTGGTAAAGTTGAAATTTTGCGGGGTTGTATTCAGAAGGGTTCATCGTGTTTCGCTTTGTAACTAGTTCTGTGATCCAAATTTTGCATCTTTAGCTTTACTAATGGAGGTTTTACCATGCTGTGCAAGTTCTTGCAGTGTCATAGAGAACATTTCCCCACATCTGTCCGTTCAAACTTTTCATACCCCATTTATTTAGATATTTTATTGATTTCGGTAAGCCGAAAAATGAATTAAGCACCACCCGCCTGGGTGGCGCTGCTGGAGCGCGCACTCTTCCTATCGTAAAAGGTTGAGTGTTCGAATCCCGGGTGCCGTAGGGTGACTTAACCGGTGCACGTGTGTGGTGGCTAGCACGTGTCGCCCCCAGGGTTTACCTCCCGGCTGTCGGCCGTGCGGGAGTTCCCTGGGTCATAAAAAAAAAAAAAAATTAAGCAACAGCTTTGGGCTCTAAAATCTCTCTACCGAATTTTAACTTCCGACATAAATCAAACTATATCAAACAGAAGATACATCTAATCAGACACGAAGAATTAATCTCTTCTGGGAAGTCTCTGTTGGAGCGACCTCAAAGCCTTGAACAGCATATGAAGTGTTTGCCCCTGGCTGAGTGACTGTCACTTGGTAATCGCCATGAAAGAGCGAGGCCTCCAAGGTGCCGTCCGAACCAGTCGTGCCCGACAATACCTGCCCCGCCCCACCCCATTTCTTCAACAGCTTGTCAACCACGTTGCCGGTTGGCAAGTTGCGGAAGTTGTTGTCCGTCAGACACATCCGGTAACACCCCTCCGGCTTCCAGGCGGTCCACAGTATTATTCCGTTGATCTTTGGATGAGCGTGCGCCTCCCTCAACACCTGCTCCAAGTACGTTGCCTTCTCAAGACAATGCACCAGCAAAAAATTTGTCAGGATTACTATTCAATTATAATATGTGTGATCAAGCATAGTGTTCTCCTAACATCGAAACTTTGGTGACAGACAAAAGATTTGAAATCCCTCACCTGATTTTGTCCACTTTGCACGTCGACTTCGGTTAACCACATTGGCAGTCCCAAAGCTCCAAGAGTGTCGATGGCAGATCTCATGTAAGGGATGTTGGGCACGTTGAAATGAGACTCAAGTCCGATGCCCAAATTCCTGCCGCCCGAAGATTGAATGCTTCTTACCTTGTTGGCATAAGCGGTAGGTGAAGATGACCCGTCCCTGCTATCCTCTATCGTGTTATAATCATTCAAAAACAAGGTGGTCGAGGGATCAATGAACTTGGCCGCTTTATAAGCGTGAGCAGATGCTTGCGGCCCGAGCTTCCTCTCAAAGAACGAGAAGTGCAGGTTTTCATTGACCACATCCCAACCGATGACCTGGCCCTTGTACCTCTTCATGATAGAGTATATCCTATTTGTGACGGCTGTGGAGAGTTGGCTTGCCGAGAGGGAATTGACCCATGAAGGCTGGTACCTAGGGTCATCCCACAGCACATTGTGGCCACGGACTGATATGCCGTGTTGCTGTGCAAATTTGAGCATTGCATCTGCTGCCGAGTAGTCCTCGTGGCCTTGGGAGGGCTCGTTCGTGTACCACTTCATTTCGTCCTCGAAGGCCGTGACAGTGAATCTGGAAGTGAACCAATTTTGGTATGCAGTGTTTGTCAGGATGTTCTTGTTTATGGCACTACCAAATGGGAAGCTCAGCTTCTTTTGTACTATAGAGATGGTGGCATTAGCCAGAGGCTTGTTTTGCTTGTCCACTACATGGATTCTGACCTTTCTTTTATGTTTCTGCGAATCATCGAGTGACAAGACTGAACATCAGACTAGTTTGCAGTCGCTATGGCCAGACAATTCTCCAATCAGATTGAAATTTCAAGCCCTGAGATAAACCTTTCTATCCAAAAAGGTCGTGGTACTAGTAACTAAATTTGTACCTCCTCAATGGTTTGCTCCCGATGTGATCTCCATTCTTCTGTTGTGAACGGTTGTAGCGAGACGCTGTCAACCCATATCTCAACCGAGGTGTCTTTGCTCTGAGAAATTAAGCAACTTTTAGTGCCTCTAGGAATGAAAAAACATTGAGGATCGAGGAGGTTTTCACGAGTAATCAAGCAAATCACATAAGAAACAACATCAATAGTGCATCCAATTAGGAACAAACAAAGCCTTCGAAGTAGTTAAAAAGGAGTGAACATAAAAGAGTCAGTCACCTCGAAGTAAAGCTCAGCTGGCCCAGATTCATCAACAGTGAGTCCACCCTTGATCATGGACCAGCAGTTCGATTCAGCTATAACGGCACCAGCACGTTTGAACCCACTAATCGTCTTAAAAATAGCTCGTACCGGGATCTTCCCCTCGTTCACCTGCACCCACGCTGCATCAAGGTCGACCCCAAGACATAGGTCAGCACAAAAGTTGAGTTTGCAATGTGAAAAACTGTCGCGCAAGGTTCAGTCATCAGACTTCACCGAATCACGCTAATCCCTGCGAAATTTAATAACCACGCAACTGAGGCAGAGATAGGAAAATAGTACCGGAAAAAGTGTAGAGTTTGTCCTTGTACAAGTAAATCTTCTGGGAGATACTGTCATGTGAGTGATTCCTGCTACGAGCCACAATGAATTTGTTACCATTAGACACTCTGTGGTCCACTTTTGCATTCCCAAAGGTGGACCATGCTCTTAACCCATGATTCAGCTCTGGGTTCTTGATGATCCCTCCATTGTACTGAGGCTCATGAGGGAAACGCAAGCACTGAAAAAGAATCAATCAAAACAAAAACTCTCAGAATTGAGCTCGAGTCAGGAAGACTACTGCTATGATTACAATTGGTGGATGGAATCAACAAGCTTGCCTCAACACTGGCTGTGTAATCATATTTCAAAGCATTGGCTCCAAATCCTGCAGAGAAGAAAGCAATATCTTGTCACTTCTTTGGAACAGAACAAATAGCAGAAAATGACCGAAAAACGCATTTTAGCTTCTAGCAGAGTAACAGAGAAGCAAATAGAATATCTTATGAATAAATAATTTCAAGCAACACAGCAAAAAGTCTGTCTATACGTGACAAGCCAAAATCGATTAGCTTTGAGTTTGTGTTGACATCTTGCCAATTAATTCTCACGAGTAGGATTAAATAATCAGTAAGCATATGCTACACGATTTTTCGGACGTACCCTTTTTCAGGCTTTGGTATATTAGAGTAACATAAAACATTTAACAAGTGAGAACCTATTAGTTAAGTCTCCCTCTTTTCCCTAAAATATACTCCAAAGATACAATGAAGTGAATGATCGGAGAAAACCTTTAGAGTTAGAAGCTAGTTTGATGAATAAGACGAGGGCCGAGGACACCACAAGACCCTTGCAAAACTATGGTAGATAGAGTGCACCGTATCGCCAGTAAAACGAGTCTAGACAATACATATTTTCCTCTTTCCTATGTTTTACCAGAAGAGGAAAGAGAGCAAACCTGACAAAATGGTTACACACATAATGAGCGCGTATGCTAGTCTGGCCATGGCAGAGTCACAACTCCAAAAGCCCATCCTCACAAACCAACCGCAGAGGGAGACAGAGGGATAGATTCAGTACTGAATTTCAGTAAAAAGGAACGAGGCATGCACACACACAGGAGATATCTATTAGAAAAGCAGGAGCAGTGTCAGGACACGAGTTGGAATTTGGAAAGGGACCCATTGCTTATATACACAACACTGCAATTGCCAAATATATAAGAAGAAGAAGAAGAAGGAAACATTGACCGTTTATGGTGCGTTAGCTCTGGAAAATCACTGTCATGTGTACATTTGCCTTTGTGGGATTATGCCTTTCCATTCCTGAATATGTCAAATTCTTGCTAATAGCTCTGGAAAATCATGGTCCTGTTTGCATATGCCTATATGGGATTATCCCTTTACATTCCTGGATAGGTCAAGTTCTTGCTATTAATGGGAATATTCTTGCCTGGAGCTGCATTTTGGAATTGCAGAGTTCCGTTACTTAGTTTCAATGAATGAAAACTGTGCTTTCCTATTCGAAGAGGCACTTAAATGGCAACTTTGTCCGACAGAAAGGCAATGCGACTGTGTCGCCTGTTATATTTTGTCCAGCTTCCTTCCTTTCTTTTGGACATTACATTCAGAATACAGTCTGTTGTTTCCCATATTAGCTCGTTTGCCCATAATTCATCGTTATTCCTTATCAGGAAAAATTTCAAATAAAGATTTCAGGTGAGTCTGTTTTCTCACAAGAGGGTTGTTTCAAACAAAATTCTAAAGCGACCAATTTAATCTCAAATAAGGAGGGCACGTAAATGGCAACTTCGCTGGAAAGAAAGGCAATGCGACTGTGTCGCCTATTATGTTTTCGCCAGCTTCCTTCCTTTCTTTTGGACATTATATTCTGAATATACTCTTTTGTTTCCCATATTAGCTTGTTTGCCCATAATTTTTTCTTATTCCTTATCAGGAGAAATTTCAATAGGGATTTTAGGTGAGTCCGTTTTTTCAAAAGACGGTCATCTCGAATAAAGCACTAAAGCGACCAACTTAGTTTATTTGAGACAATGTCCAATTTAGGATTTATTTTTTGAGAAAATGGCCGCACTTTAGACCTTAATTTGAAACTTCCCCTTTATTATTCAAAGTTTAAATCGTGTAACTGGCGATCAACAAATTCCCGATTAGACATCTATTATCTCAATTCCGAATTTGATATCTCTGCTCCAACTTAGAATTCGTTTTGGGTGGCTAATTGGGGCATTGGTATTGTTGAGAAAATATTAGATAATATAAAATAAGAAATTAACGGAAATTTGTTTGAAAAGATAAATAAATAAGATAAAATATCTTAGGCGTGCAAGCACCGTCCTTAAAAATAATTCCGCCCATCGGAGTACAAAACTCGGTGAGTAAGGCTTTAGCAACTACTCTCTCAAGATACAACAGATCTTCTTCTATATTTCGCATTGAATATTAGAGGGAACAGGGACAAAGTTATATGTATAACCAAGCAAGAAAAAAAGTAGTAGAAGGAAAGGAAATTCTCTTTATTTTTAAATTCAGTATCTTTAAGAATTGTGGTTTGAAATTTATATTCAAAACGAAAGAAACGGTCGTTAAAACCATTATTAATAGAGTACCCGTTAAAATTGTTATTAATAAATTATCATTATATGGCCGTTACAAAGTGGTTATGGCGGACAGAAACCGTTACAAATTAATGACGGTAAACAATTATTACAAAATTAATAACTTTTAATATTTCAAAACTATTGAAATATCCAACCAATATGAAACTAGAACCCGCTCCTTAGCGCCATTCAAACCGCTTCATTAATTACCACACTTCCATAATTTTCTCATTTTTTTGAACAAATTCAAAAGATAGCGAAAATTAATTCGCTTGCTAATTCTCTACAGATATATATTCCTTAATTATATTTTTTAAAGCCAACGGAATTTTGGATGAATGAAAATATATTATAATGGTACATTTATTTTTCTTGCATACGTTCTTCGAATGGTAATAGGGGTGGGGCAATTTTCCACCTGTAGATACTAAATCCATTCCATTTTCACTAGACAGACAAAATTGCCCTCGATAGTTTTTATATTTGTACGATTTCCTTCAATTTAGTCACTTTCTTTGTATGGCTTTCTCTCAAATTTAAACTTATTATTGTTTATAAAATAAAAATTAGCCTTTTATTCAACATTGCTCTTATCACTACTTTTCCATTCCTTGTTCTTTCAACCTCTAAGGCTAATTTTGTGGTGAATTTGTTATTCTATTAATTTTAGAAAAAAACGAAGTCTTTTCATATACCAAAGAATCAGCCTGAAAAACCTTTTACAAAAAGCACGTGAGAATTAAAGGAGTACCTAAATATACACTAAAAACAATGACGTCAAACATTTATGCGAGACTCCTTGGCATTTTTCTCGTAAACACCTCATGAATGTATATTAATTTTTCTCAATCCAAAACGAATTGAATTTAACTGTCATTTTAACTTTCTATTTTATGCGAAGTTTTGATTTAATTAATTTTTACCTTTTATATTTACGCGTTGGGAAATGTAATTGCGATTTTGTTCTGACAAATTTTTTAAGATCTTTTTTTATTTAATTATGTCATCCATTATGTGCGTATGAAAAATTATTGATATGAAAGAGTTTAGCGGTGGAGTATACCATAACGATAACAATTAATAAATATTTGATTGTGTTAGAAAGTCGTTGGTGTTCAATTTTTTGGATTTCTTTTGACAATTAATGCATAATTTGCTCAGCTACGTGGAAAAAACTAGGTTCTTAGGATTTTTTAGTGTCTACCACTTTAAATTTTAGTTAGATGATTAAGGGCATTTTTGGCTCTTTTTACTAAATGTGGTGAATTCACTTGTATAGGGAGTTGAAATTGCCCGACTCTGGTTCATATGAATAGTAAAGGCGCGCTTGGTTCAACTTTCTCAAGCGCCTTTCGGTAAAGCCTTTTGGAAAAGTGATAGCCGCTAGGGTATTCGGCAAGCCTTCCCAAAGGCTGGTCTTAGGAAAGCTAAAAGCCTAATACTGGTAGGGCTTTTAGCATTTGGGCGAATGCCGAAATTAATTTTTTTCTTCCCAAATTACTTTCGCCAGTCCTCTAATTTTCCGGTTTTGCCCCCGGTCGTGACTTTTCATCTTCTTTGTGTGAAAAGTTGGCGACTTTACAAGTGAACATATCCCAACCCAAAAAGGTTATATTAAATGAGGACGCGGACGGTGTCACCGACTTTCCTTCAGCGCTGTTGGCTGCGAGAGCTCCCTCTCGGAACCCAGGTCTGGAGTTCGAAAGTTGGTAGAGAGAGAGAGATGAGAGAGAGATTTCCCGTATGTTGTGAGGTATTTCAAAATACCTCTGTTTTGCTCAATTTTTTTCCAAGATCTTCAAAAAGAGGAAGTTTCTGGAGCATACAGAAGAAGTTCAATGCTGTGTTTCCGAGTTGAAGACATTGGTGCCTGCCTTTTTCTTACTATTTTTCGTTTCGATAATGATATGGCGAGGCTGGACCTGGTGATCCTTGATTCGCCACGTGCCACCATCGCTAACTCGGCCCGTTCTCGGTGAAAACATCGTTTTCTTTATGTTCCTCTTAGCAAGCCCCGCGTTAGAACCAGGTTTGTTTCTTGGAAGAGACAGAGTCAGAACAGCAGAATGAATCCCACATCCCTGATACCCACCTCCAAATTCCCCTTGAACACCCCAAGAATCCACTCCAAAGCCCAAGTTTCCTCTCCACCAACCGCACCAATCTCCCTACTAAGAACCACCGGACTTCAAGAACCGCCCAAGAACCTCAAAGCGGAGACCGCCAACAATGACTTCCCAACCATGACTGACATAATTAGTGCCTCAACAGCCCAGAACCTTGACATTGAGCTGAAAACGCTGGGACCCTTTTTCAGAATCACGGCCAGGAGCTTGGACGCCCGGACAGAGCTTGGGAGGGCGGAAGGTTTGATCCGGGTCTGGACAGGAGGGAAGATTCTGCACCTGGATTCCATCAGGTTGAGGAGAGAGACGCTGGGGATGGAGAGGTCCATATTTGGGATAGGGCTGTTCATTGGAGCTGTGGCCATAAGGCATGGGTACGAGTGTGGTTGCGGGAGGGCTGAGTTGCTGGCCATCAATGACTCGGATCTTTACCATTCCAAGGTCCTTTTTGTTTCTCTTTCCTGGTTTACGATCTTGATGAGTTAAATACAGGAAATTTTGACCATGTTCACTTATGGAAGTAACGTTATTTTGATGAGGATATGCATTATTACCAAATACAGAATTGAAGTTATATGTGACAAACAAAAGCAACGTTATAACTTTATCGCTGTTCTAAGTCATGAAGCATAGGCATTTTCATTCCAGTGAGAAGTGACTCATATTTTGCCCAAATTTTTTTATCAAGAAATTCTCATTTCCTGAAAATGCGCAGCAAAAGGCTTGTGTGTCTTTGGTATTGGTTAAGTTCTGAAATTCTGTGCTGAAGCTGGTTAGGTTTTACACGAGAATCGGGTTCAAGGCGGTGCACGAGGTGACGGGATCGACAATGGGTGACATTGCTCACATGTTGGTATGGGGAGGAGTTGGGACCAGGATGAATGCCAACATTGAGGACCTCCTAATCAAATGGTGTACTCGTTTCAAGTCCCAGAAATGATTCTTTCAACTTCTCTGCCTCCGCAATCTCACTAAAGCAAACCCAAAAACAATGATCAAAGAATGGAAAAGAAGTGTAAACTGTGAAGCTGAAGCAAATAAGTGATTCATCTGTCCGAAACTGCACAGAGCGCAGGGTTTTCTTTTTCTTATCTGCAGTTACATTAGCACCAATTTTGTGTACAAGTTTACGAGCCTAGCAAACTTCCCATTCCCCTGCGTCAATCTCACTTGATTTGCAAGACTAAAATGTTTGCGAGTGAATCTCCACATGAATGATTCCCTCAGTGGATGTTGAGCGATTCACCACAATTTGTCCTTCACCAAAAAAAAGGAAAAGCCACAATTTGTTCAATAAGCCAATGTATGGATACTATGCACTACTAACTCGATATTGATCTTTGACACTATGAGGCAAAAATTCATGACATACTGAATAATCAAATCGATGCATCCCCTGAATAAGAGGGCTCAATACAAGGGAACTACAGCAAGAAAATCTAGAAATGAGTAAGAAAATCATTACAAAGTGAAGCCAATTGCAAATACTGCATCTCGATCTGGTCCTCATACTTCACCAAGGAATAGGGCAAAGTGTCAGCAGGGCTCAAAAATATTTTTGTGGCATCACTTCTCAGCAGAAAGAATGCAAGAGCATATTGACATTAGCCAACCATATCTCCCGCACCTGTGAGTCTCATCAGTTGCCTTGGATTGGGGGTTTCAACTCATTATAGGTTGTCTAGTCATGGTTCGGCAACTGGTAAAGTCTTTGCTTGAAGAGTTGATGGGCAACTTCTAATCCTGAATTGTGAGCCGCCCTGCTGATCTACTGTCTGAGAAGTTTCTCAATTCATTGTCCAAGAAAATGCAGTCTCCAACACTTCCTGAATATGATAATCAGGTTACTAGCAAGACATATTTTGTTTCTCGATGGAAAAACCACACCGAATTATGGTTTGAATAATCCGACTTCACTTGAGATAAGTTCAAACTAATTGGATGAGCGCTGAAGAGAAAGCTATCCTACATCTTCTCTCACCTCAAACAAATTTGACAAACTCAAAGATGCAAATCCTCTATGTCAGTTAGGAGCACCGCATTAACTGAGGATCTCTTATTGGGAAGATTCACAACCAACTGACCACATGCGCCACTTATATCCTGACCCATTTGTTTACGAACTGTCGTGCGGATGTTATAAGTACCCCTAAGCACTTTCTGGAAATTTGATACTTCGACATCACTGCTGGATTTAAAATGACTAATACTGCCGATTGGATTGAAAGGTATCAAGTTCACAACCTGCTTGGAAAGACAAATATGAAGAGAGTGAAGAATCAATGCCTGCTGGATCAGAACTAATTATTAGAATAACTAGATATGCAAACTGATGAATGACATACCACATCAAATGTCTCAAGCAATTTGCCCAGTTGGTGGGCATGCTGATCTTCATCATTTACTCCGTTGAGCATTATGTACTCGATAAAGATTTTCTGCTTACTGCATCAAACAAACTACCTTCAGATATTAGTAAAAACTCATGTTGAGAAACTTAAATGGGATCCAACAAATTAGTAGCAGCAGGCTAATTGACAATTTGGGGGTTGCAACCCCTACTACCTGTTCTTTTGATATACTTGCAATGTGTCCATAAGTTTTTCCAGAGGAAAAGCACGAGCAGCAGGCATTATCTGACAACGGATGTCTTGAACTGGCGCATGCAATGACACAGCTAAGTTCACGCCTGGTAGATCATTATGAAGCTTGCTAATAGCATGAGTGATACCAACCTGCGGTAGGTACAATAAATGCTTTAAGAGTTTCCTCTGGCGCAGTCATCTTATGCCTTCAACCACACAACAGTTTTTCGAAGGTTTAGAAATCTAGGGGCAACAATAATCTACTACCTACCTACTGTTGTTAAAACTTCAGTCAAACAATTTGAAATATATAAAAACTGAAGTATATCGAGAAACTTGTATCTCCATCCGAGCAATAAACTATGACAAATAAGGGGACCAAAACCACTCGAGATGTCTTCCCAAAATCATTTTAAGAGATGAAAGAGGCAGTGTATCAAGCTAAACAATTTGCAGAGAATTCTGGACAGGTAAACTGGCGCAAATAATCATCAGGAAACTGACAAGTTATTCATAAAAAGTGAAATCTCATGGTGTATAACAAAAAAACGATAACCATACCGTTGAGACAGTTATCCTCTTTAGTGACAGCTGGAACGGTGACCTGGTCATTACACGGATAGCTTCCACTACGGCAGTATAATTATTCAAAGGTTCTCCCATTCCCTGCCCAGCAAAATCGACAGAAGATTATGATAGCCAACACCAGTACTAATGCAAGATTTCTCTAGCATGAGAGAAAGTACTAACCATGAATACGACATTTCGTATAGAGGATATATGAGAGGCATGAACCAATTGTTCCACGATTTCTCCTGATGATAAATTGCTTTTGAATCCCATGCTTCCAGTTGCACAGAATTTGCACCCCATTTTGCAACCAACCTACAGCATTACGAGTTAAAGGCATAGAAAATACAATCTTCACAGAAAAATTAAAAGATTGAAAAAAAAATAGCTCAACAACAGAAGAATACCTGAGACGATATGCACAGAGTTGACCTGGGACCTCCTGGACGGGGTTTCCCACAGTATTTGCCTAAGCGTGTATCGTATGTCATGATCACAGCCTCCACAAAAGCTTCATTCTAGTTACCACAATTTAAACCAAGAATCAACAAGGGCAATCCCAAAATCGCGAGAAGGTCTCCACCTAACCATGATACTGCCCAATGCGGTATCGGCCTATCAAATTCTCGCCTTTTTGCATTATTTGAACATGGGTAGCGAAGTAACTAGCGAAGCACCACAGCGAGTCATTGAAATGCATTGGGTGGCATAAGTGTTACAGCATAAAATCTCTCCAACAGCTTGACACGAACAAAAACAACAAACCTGCAACTTGATGAGAAGTTTGGTGGTGACTTGGTCGCTAGAATCGACTCGGGAGTGAAGAGTCGAGGTCAAAGGCTTGAACTTTGAACTCAGCAGCGAGTACGCGGCGGAGGGCAACGACGGTATGTCGCTCCACTCGCAGCTAGGGTTTCGCGCCACCCATCTTCAACAATGGCAATAGGACGATCAAGATTACGAATTTCAAGCAAAACCGAAACAACCCAATTCCTTCCATTAACGAGCTTCGTGGAGGGAAAGAAAGAAACTTTACTTCCAAATGCATGGGATGAAGTGAGAACTGATTCCGGCCTTGTCGAACTCCGACGTGATTTCGCCGGCGTCGAACACCGAACGGTGAGCCATCGGAAGGCGGGGACCTCTTCAGCTTCAAGCCTTCGTCGACCTTTTCCGTCCTCCGATTCGATCCGCCGGGAGAGCTCGCCGTCGCTCAGCTGACAGTCACGGCGGAGGAGACAGAAATTGAAACAGAACAAACAACGTGGGCGATGTCGAAGTAAATGGTTTTTTTCTTCTCTTTTTCCCCTTTCTTGCCAGGCAAAAAAAATAAATTGTTGGTCCAATTCTAACTTTAACAGCGTAATAATTCTTGCAGAAAAATTAGTGATAATTAGAATTCAATTCACTGCGACTATTCCACTGAAAAATCATCCGATTCATTTCAAAATATTTCACCTTCTTCACTATTCACACACAATATTTTATTATCATGTGGGTGGATAGCGTGTACCTCAACACAAGTATCAACTCGAAGATGCAATAAATATTGATGAACACAAGAACCCTTTGATTAGTACGTAACAAAAGTGTGTCTCATGCAAATAGATTAATTGGTAAGGCGATTGAAAATTATACTTATCCGTTTTCTTTATTCCTTATTAGGCAAAACCACTTTATTCGGCCTATTTAATAGAATGAGCTTGATGATGAAATACCCATGTTATTTAAACAAATAACAACTCAAATTTTAATAATGAAACATGTGAAATATAAGATATATAATTATCTATTACATATCTATTCACAAATGCACTATTTATTGGACAAGTCTTTAACAATACCTAGAGAACGAAAAAATTCAAAATTCTTTACTAATAGGGTGTCCTCTTTCCATTGTACAATAGTATAGATAACTTAGTTTCTGTAGGATTAAATCAACATCATATTAACATAAAAAAAAATCAACAACATATAAATACATCTCTATACGTTCCCATTGCGTTGCGAGACAGAAAAGGGCAAACTCATGCACCAACAGCAAGGTTCTAAACCTATTAATACGGGACAAAAAAATCCGTTTCCTGATATATTGAACGGAAATTCGAGAGAAGTGCTTAAATTGTCGTGGAAGTATAGTGTAGGGACAAGAATTATAAACAAAACAAAGTATAAGGACCAAAAATAAAATCCCCCCAAATCTAGGGGGGCCAAATAATGTAATTTCCCTTCTTCATCTTCTGTTTTTTCTCACCTCAGGATCCAATCAAGATACCTAATCTTGAAAGCCCCCAAAACTGCTGTCAACTAGATTTCCTGTTCTTGATTTAACCTCATCCGACCCGGCTTCGATCTTTACGGTCGTCACCTCATCGGACAATGAAGCTGAAGCCTCCTCGGACACGGATCGCGACCCGGGAGCCGCTTGCAAATATTTATTTCGTACGTCGTCCGAAGCCCAGACATCATCGACATGCCATGTTTTTCGGGTGAAAGCTGCCAAGTTCTTGTCAACGTTCCCCTGCTTTTTTTTTTTTCCATTCAGCAAGGCACTTAGCGAACATGGGTCTTCAGAAGCGTAAGTTCTTGCTCAGCAAAAGCCTGTCAACGTTAAAGACATCGATTCTTGTTTTTGGTCTGGAGATATTGAGGATGTGAAGGCAAAAAAGCATTGCTGAACTGCTGCAGGTTCGGGCCGCGCGAGGAAAGACGGCGGCGGGTCCGTGCATTGCGATGCCGCGGACGCAGGCGAGGGCGAGGTCGCGGCGAAGAGGATACCGGGCGTGCCGAGGTCGGCGTTGGGTTCTCACCTAGAGGAGTTGTTCAAGAAGAAGTAAGGCAACTTTTATGTACCGCTTTTTCTGGTTTTCTGTTGTTTCTTTCTCTCTTGTTTAAGGATGCGGTGAATAATTTGATGTTTTCTGCACTGTCTATTGCTACAGTTTATCTTACCCTTTTTCCTTTCCGTGGTGTTTTATGATTCAAGGGGGTCGATTAGAGAAGATGCATTGACCTCTATAATCCAGACATTCAAGCGGCGGATAGAGCATGAATTCGTGGAGAATAAGTGAGTTCATGTTGCAATTTCCAAATTTTTGAGTATTTAGTTTATGAGATACACTGATAAGTATGTGTGCTTTGCTTTGTTCATCGTGAGCAACATTGTAAACTTGTGATCTGTTGTTTCTGCGTTTGTCCTTCGAAGTTTTGCTACTTTGCTCTATCGATTCCTGAATTGCGCGAAGAATGGTTCGTCTAAGGAGGTGGCCTTAGCGTCTCATGCAATCGGTGAGTTAGATTATATACATTATGTATACATACTTGGATAAAACATATATATTGGTAGATTCGGCAATTGACGGGTGGCTTACTATACTCGACGTTTCTATGAAGGGTTGCTGGCGATGACAACCAAATGCAGAGACAAGGCTCACGAACTATACGGAGAATCTGTTTCCTTATTTTCCAAGGCACTTAAACCTCAATCCAAAAAATACTATTATGAGGTATAATCATCAAAAAAAGGGATTATGAGCTATAGTATAGTCATCTAGGTCGAGACACATGGATATCGTCGATTGAATTTCAATTAATTCTGGAGGATAGAAAATTGAGCTTGTGATTACATATGCAGATGGTGAATAGCTTGGTGGTGGTTACCTACTTCTGTGCAGATGCTTCAGTGGAGACTGAAAAGTCTATGCAGATTTTATGGGATTTCATTCACCAACAAGGTGGCACTAATGTATGCATGCACCTAAAGCTAAATTGTAACTCAGCTGTATCTTCTGATACTGATATAATTGTGAAAGCAGCAAAACTTCAATGGTTTTATAAGTTTATCAGATGCAATGCAATTGATGGCAAAATTTTCAATGGCTTTATATAATTGCTCTTGTTGTTGCTTAGATATCTGAGGATGCCGATGCAATGTCCATTCTTGTTGCTGCAATATCTGCATGGTCTTGCTTGCTCTCAACACTTGATGGATGGAGAGTCGATAGCAAGCAATGGAAGGGGTGAGTGAGGATATATCCAACTCTCTCTTCATGTCATTAAACACATTTTATCTACAGTACACATTTAATTCCTGCAATTACTTAATGGATCCGGGTAGCATCGATTTAGTTTTCCTTAACCGATGTTGATTAGCTATTCTTTTTGTCCATTGATCTGATTTATAACTGTAATAATAGTTGCGTCTATTTTATTTTTTTTCGCGATTTGGTTCAGGGCCATACCTTACTTCTTGAGCTTACTAAAGACCAACAATATTGAAGCCCTTCAACTGGTAGCATGTGAAGCATTGTTTTTGATACTGGAAATTGGATATCTTCGTAAGTTCTCTGACGAAACCGAGGCTTGCGATGACATTGCAAAGCTAGTGAGGAGTACAGTCTGCAGCATAAATCCAACCTTCATCAAATATTCGGCGGTAACAATCTTACATTACGCTGAGCTGGACTTGGGGTTTGAGTTTGATTTGAAGTTCTTGATTTCAGGACAAATTCCCAAAGAAGAGTATAGCAGTCGGCAGACAAAGAGTAATCTTATCAACATGGTCAGAGTTAATACAGGTTCCATGCTGCTTTGTAGCTCCTCTTCTTCATCTGATATTTTATTAAAGAAAAGGCTACTTATGATTTACCAACATTTTGATTTCTATGACTTGACAGCTAAATTTCTTGAAGCTGTTTTTAGGACAAGACGGATTCATTACTCATATGCTTGTAAGTTTTCTGATCTTAGTTTCTAAGGTTCTATTTCCTCTTTTTCTGCTTTATGAGCCATAATGATAGCTGACATTTTTTCTCTTTCCAAACAGGGAAACAAACTCCTTAGAGACGTGTTCGAGTTTAATAACCAAGAGAGTCCTTCGGATGCTCGACTCTACATACCAGAAAGAGAAGAGGTTTGCAGATTTGTTAATCTCTCATAAAGACAATTTACAGTTTCTAGCTCAAAAAAAATCTGTAGGCATGTGTTCAGACAGCTGAATCTACAACACCCTCTCTGCTTACAGCTACGAAAATGACAACTCCTATTGACAATTTGCAGGTAGTTAAGCAATACTCGCTCCCGGGTCGAAAGCCTAAAGCTAGAGACAGAGATAAAGCAAGAAGCAAAGAGATCGATCTTTCTTTCACTTCCAGCAAGGAAAAACTAATTGATCACGTACTGAACCGAGACCATACTGACAAATACTAGTCCTCGTTTCTTTTGGTTTAGAGAAGTTTCTCGTCATCTATTCAAACGAAAAACTTCTCAAACAAAATTAGCTATATTCAAATCTTGAATACCTTAAGCACTGGTTCGCAGCCTTTTTGAAAGGGAAAAAGAGAAAATTCCAATAGTTTCCACCAATTCCATTCCGAAGTTCTTACCTACGAAACGGGACTTGAGGAAACTTTATTTCTTTTACCGAAGAGAAAAAAACCTATCTCATTGTAGCTTCAGGAATTGGTATTGTACATTGTGATGCAGACTTATGACATTTTATTTGCGTCTCCTTTTCAGAGAATGAACAAGTCGGCAAATTCTGCTAAAAACAAAGCGAGGACACAGCTCTTGAACAAGAACCGAGCGTTTTCAGAGGTAGGCTCATCCGACCTCCACTGCTATGCTATTTTTGCTGATCTTGAGCGTACCACTTTGGTTTAAACCACATTATCTGTTAACTTATCCTTCTACGTTTTGTGGGGCTAACAAATACCAGACCCAGCACTTTTAGTTACTTCCCCTGATTATGCACGTAAAGGCTTCAATCTTGTTGCTAATCCCTGATCGCTTGTAATTGTTCTTTTTCCAGGAAAGGCGCACTGGCCATTTCATTTCTGAAGATTGAAAATCCATGTACTCATCAGACATGCAGATTAGTCGGCTACTCACTGCGATTATCATAATTTCCGAGAAATCTCATTTTTTTTAGTCATAATTACCATTGTTATTGTAACATAATGTACACTTGCAATCTAATCCCATGCTTTTCATCACTTAAGGCAAGCCTTTCAAGAAATGAGCAATATGCTCAATACATCAGTTCATATCATTCTGCATCAGCGAGAATCACATTAACTGAGTCAAACAACACATTCTGAGCATTTTCAATGATTTCTGGAGCGCAATTTCGTACCCAATTTTAAAGTGACAAACAAAAGCGACAGCTTCAGCACCCGCAAACTTGTCTTTAAATACCTTTGAAACGACAAAATAACCGTACAAACTTTAGATAAAGAAGACCTCATGCTTGGATTTAAAGAATAATATAACACCAACGTCAATGACTTAACAAGTCCAGTGCAGATACTTGAACAGAATACAATTCGAGGCCTTAGTTCATGCTAATATAGGCCTGTATTGATACCGGAATGTTTCAGTATCCGCTCCTTGGCATGTATGTGTCCTGAGATGTCGCCTGTCCAGGGGGAGGTCTTGGCCGAGCATACTCAGCAAATATAACCCATCCGTCAAGAAACTGCATCGCAGTAAATGGAAAATAACATGGCATAAGTTATTGTATTCCAATTAATTCAATGAAATGGTAATCAAACCTCGTAGGACACAAGTAAAAAGGACACATTTTAGGTTTTCTTTTGTTAGCAACAAAGCTGGATTTGGCGTAGGAATAAACCATTGCCGAAAGGCACGTGAAGTCACCAAGTAAGTCTAATTCTGCAGAGTTCATGGATTCAGATTGGCCTATGGCTTAGTTCGCGTTTAAAGTTACATTAGGGAATGTCCAAATTGCAACCAATTCATCAAAGATCACAACAGATAGCCAGACAAAATACAAGATCTGCACATGAGAACGGACCTTTGCATCCATTCCTTCTATTCCTTTTGCAGCATCGTCTAGTGTCGCATACTTCACAAAGCCAAATCCTTTTGAGTACCCAGAATTCCGATCTGTAACCACTTTGGCTGTATAAACACAAAGCTGCTAGTGTTAATAGCTTGATTTCCAAGCACTCACTGTAATGGGCAAGGATGGCGAAAACAGACGCCATTCACCCCAGTCCTTCGAGTATTTCAAAACAGGGGAGGTCATAAACACATGGAAAGGAGACTGAAAGTTGCGAAAAAGAGGTTGAAACGGTCAAGAACACGGAATACAGTCATGACTGAATTGATACAAAATGTCAACAAAATATTTCTTTTCCTTTTATCGGCTTTCCATGGATCTGTCTACATACTTTTCCTTCCCCTTTTACGGAACAAAAATCAGCTACTCAATGAGGTGTGTCGATCACTAGCTATAGTTATTCGTGTGCGCCTTATCATGAACAATATCATTCAGACGAATATGTAAGATTACCGTGAACAACTTGGCCAAATTTTGAGAATGCCTCGTGGAGCTTCTCTGTCGTCGTTCTCTTATTAAGCCCTGTGGCACACCATAAAGGCCAAAATGCATAAGTTCATCAACATATCGATACCATCTACTTCCATATTGTTCCATCAAAACGAGGCAATCGATCAAATTTGTGAACTTCAAGACAATTTCATCCTGCTAATAATAATCCTTTGAAAAGCACTGCCACAACATGTTAAAGTCAGGCCGAATAGCAAGATTCACAGCGGTAAACTAAGCATACGTCATAATTTACTCCTCTCAAGCAGAAAAAGAAGCAAACACAATCAGAGCTGCGAAAACTACGAGCTCAACGACCCAGTCGTATTGAAACTAGAGGAGACAAGAGATTTAAACAGACGCCGAGATCACAAGATGAATAGGCCGATGAAAAGATTAAGACTTTTTACCCGAGACGAAGAGAGTATCAGAAGGGATAGGCGCGGGCTTGTCGCCGGCGGCGGCGGCGGCGGCAGCTGTGGCCGCGGGAGCCGAGAGCTGAGAGGCGAAACTCGAGGTCGAGAGAAGCCTTCTCGCGATCCCGAGTCCCAGTGCCTTACCCGAGACGAAGAGAGTGTCGGAAGGAATAGGCGCGGGCTTGTCGCCGGCGGCGGCGGTAGCTGTGGCCGCAGGAGCCGAAAGCTGGGAGGCGAAACTCGAGGTCGAGAGGAGCCGTCTCGCGATTCCGAGTCTCAGCGCCATTTCTCGACGGAACAGGTCGACAGACGCTACGCTGCGCGGCGGCGACGACGACGGCGACGACCGCGACGGTGGGGGTGACGGAGCGAGCGATAAACCCTACAACCCCGAGAAAATGCTCTGTTGTTCGAGGTCGAAGCGACAGTTCACTTCGCGGAGGAAAAGTAGTTGGTTGATATGGGGGATTTCATGGGCTTTTTGGAGGCAAAGGAAAGCCCAAAGGAGCTCACGTTTTTTGTGGCGAATCCCTCTTTGCATATTACGACAAAATCAGAGGATCACGACAACTTTGCCACGATGACGAGGAGTCCCGCTCCCACGGCTTCCGCTTCATCATATTTTTATTCAATCATCGAACCAGACAGACAGTGGATTAGCGCAGGGAATCGTGTCGTTGTTGTCGACAACCTCCTCCCTCAGCAAGCTTCTCTCTCCCTCCCCTCTTCGCTGCTCGTCTGCAAGGTATGGCTCCTCATTTCCTGCTTTAATTTTCTTGAGTCTTTCTTTTCCATTCGTTGTTTATCCAATGGATATCGCGTCGAGGAATGTCGGTTTGGTGATTGCTCAATCCGTGAGTTCGCGCTGTCTGGTTTGTTGAAACTTTTTTGAGTCGTTTAGATTTCGAGGTTGAAGCCAATACCCTGCAAACAAGTTTTGATTTTGCTCATCGAGGCGTGTTCTTTATGCTGGGGCCTATTGATATCTTCTTCTGTTTCTTTTTCCCAAATGGTAATCTCGCAGGACTGTTTCTGTCGGTAGCCTGAATCTCTGAGATTTGACTGCGGATATGGGGAGTGCGGCTGTCGATAAGCTGCGGTTTTGCATCGATAGAGGAGGGACTTTCACGGACGTTTACGCCGAAATTCCGGGCGAGCTGGACGGCCGAGTTATGAAGCTCTTGTCGGTTGACCCGGCGAATTACGACGATGCTCCGGTGGAGGGGATCCGGAGGATTCTCGAGGAGTACACTGGGAAGAAAATCCCTCGCACGTCGAAAGTGCCGACGGATAATATCGAATGGATAAGGATGGGCACAACAGTCGCGACCAATGCTCTCTTGGAAAGAAAAGGGGAAAGGATCGCTCTATGTGTGACGCGGGGTTTCAAGGATCTGCTGCAGATAGGTAACCAGGCTCGGCCTAATATCTTTGACCTGACTGTGTCGAAACCCTCGAACCTTTATGAGGAAATATTAGAAGCTGAAGAGAGAGTCGAGCTTGTTTCCGGTAAGGAGGAAGATGCTCAACATTCGTCCGTGAGATTGGTGACGGGAGTCTCCGGTGAGCTCGTCAGGGTACTGAAGCCACTTGATGGGGAGGCTTTGACTCCATTACTAAAAGGATTGTTGGACAAAGGAATTAGCTGCTTGGCTGTAGTCTTGATGCATTCATATACTTATCCAGATCATGAAATAGTTGTGAAGAGTTTAGCCGTAAAAATGGGATTCAGACACGTGTCCTTATCTTCAGCTTTGACTCCGATGGTTCGAGTGGTTCCTCGAGGCCTAACAGCCACTGTGGATGCATATTTGACCCCTGTCATTAAAGAATATCTGTCAGGGTTCATCTCCTGGTTCGATGAAGGGTTGGACAAGGTGAATGTGTTGTTTATGCAATCGGATGGTGGACTAGCACCCGAAAGTAAGTTTTCGGGTCACAAAGCAATTCTATCAGGTCCGGCTGGTGGCGTGGTTGGTTATTCTCAAACTCTATTTGGGCTTGAGACAGACAAGCCCCTCATTGGATTCGACATGGGAGGCACATCCACTGATGTGAGTCGGTATGCAGGGAGCTATGAGCAAGTTTTAGAGACCCAAATTGCCGGTGCCATAATCCAAGTGCCTCAGCTAGACATAAACACCGTTGCTGCGGGTGGTGGGTCAAAGTTAAAGTTTCAATTCGGAGCTTTCCGGGTTGGCCCAGAATCAGTGGGTGCACATCCTGGTCCGGTGTGTTATAGGAAAGGAGGGGAGCTTGCAGTTACAGATGCAAACCTGATTTTAGGTTATGTTATTCCCGACTTTTTTCCATCTATCTTCGGCCCAAATGAGGATGAACCTTTAGATATCATGGCAACAAGGCAAGAATTCGAGAAGCTTGCTAAAGAAATTAACTCCTATAGATTGAGCCAGGATCCATCCATGAAGGAAATGTCCGTCGAAGAGATTGCACTTGGATTTGTTAATGTGGCAAATGAGACGATGTGTCGTCCAATACGTCAACTGACCGAGATGAAGGGCCACGAAACAAGGAACCATGCTCTTGCTTGCTTTGGAGGAGCTGGCCCACAGCATGCCTGTGCAATTGCTCGGTCTTTGGGTATGAGCGAGGTAATAATACACAGATTCTGTGGCATTCTGAGTGCATACGGAATGGGTCTGGCAGATGTTATTGAAGAGGCACAGGAGCCGTATTCTGCTGTTTATGGTCCTGAATCGATTGTAGAAGCCTCACGTAGAGAAGCTGCTCTATCAAGACAAGTAAAACAAAAGCTACAAGAGCAAGGTTTTAGAGAGGAGAACATTGCAACAGAGACGTATCTAAATCTAAGGTATGAAGGTACGGATACTGCCATCATGGTGAAGAGGCACACTACTGAAGGTGACTCCCGATTTGACTATGCCGAAGAATTTGTGAACCTCTTTCATCAAGAATATGGATTTAAGCTGCAGAATAGGAACATCCTCATATGCGATGTGAGGATTCGGGGGATAGGGGTCACGAATATTTTGAAGCCGAGGGCCTTAGAACCTGCTTTAGGTTCTCCTGAAGTTGAGGGCCATTACAGGATCTACTTTGGGAATGGCTGGCATACAGCGCCGCTTTTCAAGCTTGAGAATATGGGTTATGGGCACAGTTTGCATGGCCCTGCCATAATCATGAATGGGAATAGCACTGTCATAGTAGAACCAAACTGTAAAGCAACGGTAACTAAGTATGGCAACATCAAAATTGACATTGAATTAGCTATTAGTTCGGTCAAGTTAGACAAAAAGGTTGCAGATGTCGTGCAGCTGTCAATTTTTAATCACAGGTTTATGGGAATAGCCGAGCAAATGGGACGAACGCTGCAGAGAACTTCCATATCAACGAATATCAAGGAACGTTTAGACTTTTCTTGTGCTCTTTTTAGTCCTGATGGGGGACTAGTTGCTAATGCTCCTCACGTTCCTGTCCACCTAGGAGCAATGTCAAGCACGGTCCGCTGGCAGCTAGAGTACTGGGGCGACAATTTAAGTGAGGGAGATGTTCTGGTCACTAACCATCCCTGCGCCGGTGGAAGCCACCTTCCTGATATTACTGTTATTACACCCGTTTTTGATAAAGGGAAGCTGGTATTTTTCGTTGCAAGTAGGGGACATCATGCAGAGATTGGGGGCATCACTCCAGGAAGCATGCCGCCCTTTTCTAAATCCATATATGAAGAGGGGGCTGCAATAAAAGCATTTAAGCTTGTCGAGAAAGGAATCTTCCAAGAGGAAGGAATTGTGAAGTTACTTTGTTTCCCCTGTTCTGATGAATCGGAACATAACATTCCGGGCACCCGCCGGCTTCAAGACAATTTGTCCGATCTTCATGCACAAGTAGCCGCAAACCAGAGAGGAATTTTACTGATAAAAGAGCTAATTGAGCAGTATGGTCTTGATACTGTTCAAGCTTACATGATGTATGTGCAAAACAATGCAGAAGAAGCAGTGAGAGAAATGCTCAAGTCAGTTGCTGCCAAAGTTTCATCTCAATTAAACAATACTGGGAACAACGATTCTGTCACTATCGCAGAAGAGGATTACATGGATGATGGTTCAAGCGTACATCTTAAACTTACTATTGATTCTGTTAAAGGAGAAGCCGTTTTTGACTTTAGTGGGACCAGTCCAGAAGTCTATGGGAACTGGAATGCACCCGAGGCCGTGACAGCTGCGGCAGTCATATACTGCCTGCGGTGTTTGGTTGACGTCGATATACCTCTTAATCAGGGATGTTTGGCTCCGGTCAAGATTCACATTCCAAAGGGTTCGTTTCTTTCTCCAAGTGATAAAGCTGCTGTGGTAGGAGGTAATGTTCTGACTTCGCAGAGAGTTACTGATGTTATACTCACCGCCTTTCAAGCATGTGCTTGCTCTCAGGGTTGTATGAATAACTTGACCTTTGGAGATGACACATTTGGTTATTATGAAACAATTGGGGGCGGGAGTGGAGCTGGTCCGACTTGGGATGGTACCAGTGGGGTCCAGTGCCATATGACCAACACGCGCATGACCGATCCTGAGATCTTCGAGCAGAGGTACCCTGTTCTTCTGCACAAGTTTGGACTTAGACAAAATAGCGGAGGGGCCGGGATTCGTAAAGGGGGCGATGGTCTTGTAAGGGAGATAGAGTTCAAGTCCCCAGTTGTAGTTAGTATATTGTCGGAGAGGCGTGTTCACGCTCCGAGGGGGTTAAGAGGAGGCAAAGATGGGGCACGCGGAGCAAACTTTCTCACAACAAAAGACAAGCGGAAAATTTACCTTGGAGGCAAAAACACCGTTCAGGTGCAGCCAGGAGAAATACTTCAGATACTCACTCCTGGTGGCGGCGGATGGGGTTGTCCTCCGTAGTTTTGCCAGTATGGAGGAAATCTGACCACAGACTTTGTTTCTGCGTCTTAAGCAATTACGGAGCATTGGCAGAGCTCTTTGAGCATTTTTGCACTTGGAAGGACTGTCATTGAAATGATATTTGAATTGAAGTTTTCAGGATTCACCCTGCTGTTCCTTTGGAATTGGTTAGCTAGTTGTTCCATAGTTTTGGAATCTAAATAGTTGCTTATGTTAGGACCTCAGAATAATGCTCAGAGGAAATCTTTGCCTTAAATTACAAGACCAATTGAAGGTCAAAGCCCAGGGCAAAACTATAAGTACGTGTCTGTATGAGCATCTTCTCTTGGGGAATGCATGTCTATCTTCTCTCTATCTCTGCGAGTGATTTCGAAGCATTGAAGGGGTTTTAGTAGGAGCCCATGAATCTGTCTGTCTGTGGTTCTGATCTTTTTGGCAGAAGATTACTGCAGTTGACAACGATCCAACAACGCAATCAGTAAACGAGCCAAATGAGTGACAGAGAAATGAATCAATGAACACACATCACAATGGATAAAAACAAGTCAAGGGAAAGAATTTGTAATTAAAGACAAGTCTAAATAAAAGTTCAGATTCAGGAAGAGTAGACAAAAGGGCTTCCAGAGCAGATCCTCTCCGGCTAATTTTTATATTTTCTTAGGAAAATAACACAAACTGTCCCTAAACTTTGACTCAATGTGTAATTTGGCCCCTGAACTTTTAATTTGTTCAATGTAGTCCCTGAATTTTAACCCAATGTTTAATGTGGTCTCTGAACTTTCAATTTGCTCAATGTGATCTATGAATTTTTGGTACATGTTCAATATAGTCCCTGAACTTTATAAAAATGTTCAATGTAGTCTTTCCATTAATTCAAGTTCAGGGACACTATTGTACATATATTTTCATATAGTTCAGAGACTAAATTGAACATATGCAAAAAGTTCAGAGATCACATTAAACAAATTAAAAGTTCAGGAACCATATTGAACATTAGGCTAAAGTTCAGGGATTACATTGAACAAATTAAAAGTTCATTGACCAAATTGTACATTGAGCCAAAGTTCAGGGACTGTTTGTGTCATTATCCCTATTTTCTTCATAAAGCACTTATAACTTCGAGGCACAAATGCTAATATATCTTATCCCGAATATTTTTCTATCAATTTGCAGCAATTTTTTTTTTTTTTGGATCGAAATTTGCAGCAACTTTAAGCGGTCAGAATTTGCAAAATTCAGTGAGGACAGCAAAAATGTACCTTTGTTTGGAGTCGCATGGTAAGTTAACTTTTGAAATTTAAAAATATTTAGGTCCATTTAGGTTGCAACAGCTGGAGTAGCTCAGTTGGTTAGAGCGTGTGGCTGTTAACCACAAGGTCGAAGGTTCAAGCCCTTCCTCTAGCGTTCCCTACCTTTATGGATTAATTGTTTTTTTAATTTTCTGTGCTTAAAATGAAAAGGAAGTAAATTCATCACAATGTCCAAGTAAATTCCTCTCTCATGCAAATATTGACTAAACTGGTGATGAATAACTATATCAACTGGTGGTACCATATATTCAGCTCTAGTATGCTCCAAATTCTCTCCCTAAAGTCATGTCTTAAAATACTGGTCTTAGGACTTTTTCTTATTCCAGTACAGATGCAGATACAAAGTAGCTTCTTCAGGTGGTGACATGAATACTACATCGATTTTCCTCGAGCTCAGTTTTTCTTCGATGCTTCCAACCGGACATTGAAGTGATGCCTCGCTTGGCGCTCGATTGGAGAACCGACTACTAGTGTGTGTCGCCCTGTGACCAGAAGTCTGTTTCCTTCCTTGTCTGCAAGACTCAGATGCTTGCACACGTTCACCCTCACGGTCACCTTCTGTGTCTTGCCAACCTTCACCTCCGCTCTCTCAAAACCCACCAGTTGCTGAATCGGCACACCAGTTATTAATACTCGTGAGCTCAGGGGCTTCCAAAACACTAGCACCACATGAGTCCCATCTGTTTTCCCGTCGTTCTTGACTCCGACGACTACATTGAATTGCAAGTCTGTACATTTGATTGCTGAAATGTTGATAGCTTGAGCATTGGAGTCCGAGGGTATTTGGACTTTGGAGCTGGAAAAGAGAATGTTGTGTCGATTGGATGCGGATGCCAATTGGACAAGTATAGTGGACGGGGTGGATATGACGAATTTGGAATACGAGGAGTAGCTCAGTCCGTGGCCGAACTGATAGACGGATTTTCCTGCATAAAAACGGTAAGTTCTTCCAGGGTAGTTAGTAGAGCTGTTGGCTCTCATGTTCATGTCTGTCATTGGTACTTGATCGGCATACTCTTGTGGATACCATGTAAAGGGGGACCTTCCACCGAACAAAATTGCTAGTAGATTGTCAGTCTACACATTGACAGACCAAACGACCACAATGCGTGCTTTCAAGAGAGAGAGAGAGAGAGAGAGAGAGAGAGAGAGAGAGAGAGAGAGAGAGAGAGAGTACCTGGATTGTAGTTCCCAAAGATGACCTGGGCTATGGCTTCTCCTCCATCTTGAACTGGATATCCAACCCACAGAATTCCCTTGATTTTACTCACGTGCTTTGTGAACGAAACATCAACTGGACCAGCTGACGTGATAACAAGAATCATGGTCCCATTTGTCGCGTCCGACACCTCCATCACCAGCTTTTCCTGAAGCCCTGGCAATGTTAAGTTCACTCTGTCCAACCCCTCATCCTCAACCGATGTACTAAGCCCCACCACAACAACCACAACATCGGCTGTGGCGGCGATCTTAACCACTGCCTCGAAAAGAGATTTGTTGCTGCATTTCACGTTGGCACAACCGGGGCTCATAGATCACTGTGCCCACATACTTTTGCAGCCCTTGTAATGGACTGGTGTATCGGCAAGGTGTACCGGCATAGTTGCTTATCATGTCCTTTCGGCATTAGCATTTGGTCCTATGACAGCCATGTTTTTTAGGGTACTTTTGGACAGTGGGAGTGCTCCCTTGTTGGCAAGAAGGACAATCCCCTGCTTCGCAGCATCTAGTGCCAAGTATTGATTTTCGTTGGTACATACATCCAGTGGACCAAGATTTCCAAATGGGAGAGATTTGGGGTCTCTGTCAAAGAAGCCGAGTCTGATGAGAACTGCATAGTTGTATGCCAAGGCCTGATCCCCAACAGACTCATCCACCTTCTTCTGGTTTACCGCATTTTGTGTGTACTTGCTTAGAAAATGTCCACGGTTCATGTTTAAACCTGCATACCGCAGCATAAACGTCTGCAGACATTTAAGAAGGGTTTGATGTGATTGTATTTCCCAGAGACTAGCTGTTGTGATGGCATTACTTAACATTGTCAATACCTGCTTTTAGGGCAAGGGCGACTGCATCCTCAGGTGTAGCAGCATAGTGGATGCGATCATAGTAAACCTCAATTGAGTCGCAGTCCGAGACGATATAGCTGTTAAAGATGCAAAAGCTCAAGCATTGACTATGATATAATCCTCATTTAGACTATTTGTACATACTAATTTAAATGCGTTCCCTTAAGTCTCCAATTTGCATCGTTCCTAAATTCTTACTGGACTAGATAATAAATGATGGATTCAGCAACCAAGTTTTTTGAACAGAAATTATACAGACAAAGTTAAGGGACTTAGTTTCATATATCTGTAGAAGACCAGATATGATCATAAGCTATCCTATCTGATTAAGTTTCGTTTCAAAATTGCAATTTACTTGGTTAATGAAGGACTTCTGTGCTGTGTTATACAAAAAATCAAGGAAAAATATATAAGTTTCGTCTCCACATGATTCAATGTTGGTGGAACTTCTTTTGCTGAGGAACGTTCAGTTGCACAATCTTCCCTTTTGTTGAATCAATGTAGAGAGCCCCTTAGGAAGCTGAATGTTTTCTGTTTCACGTTTCTGCTACTAAATCACTAGTCATTTGACTGAAAGTTGATAAGACCAAGAATTTTAGGATAGAAACACAAACCCGTCAAGACCCCGTTGATCTCTGACTACTCCTTTGAGCAGGTTTGGCTCGGCAAAGGTAGGAACACTGTTCACCCTATTGTAAGAACACATAACACTACTGACACGCCCCTCCTCTATGCAGCTCCTAAATGGTGGCTGATATGTATCCTTCATGTCCTGTTTTGTCACCTGCAAGGAGAAACGATGCTCAACTTTTTAGGGAAGAGATGGCACTTTATTGAAAGTTTAGCCTGTACCCAACACTTGATAGCTGATGTCTTTAGATTTTTCTTTTTTAAGTCCAAGCTAATGCAATTAGTACACTTTTCCATACGCGTGCATCAAAATGAAATCGATCTACACCTTTCCAGCTATCGACATCATAAGCCGTGTAATGCTTGCAGCAACTAGAAACCTTGAGCCTGCTATCAGTATAATTGCCTCCCTCCACTACTTCTTGTAGTCCTCTCAAATAGTTCACCCCATATCTGGACACAACCAGAGAGTCTTCTCCCGGCATTTCTTGGCCACGCCCCCATCTTGCGTCCCGGAACACATTGACATTGGGGCTCCAGTACGTGAGCCCCACTTGACCAACATTGTGCATGGCTCTAGCCTTGGTCGACATGACCTGGCCCAACTTATACCCCAGTGTGGAATTGAAACTTGCAGCCGAGAGTATAACTGCAGGAAAGCTTGCGGCCCCCGACACTGGTCCATTGAAAATGATGGCCCCCTGACTTGCTACACCATGAAGCGCCTCGGACTACCAATTGTATGGTGGCACACCGAGCCGGGAATTGCCGGTTGCATGGTTCACCAATTGCTGCACCTTTTCGTGGAGGGTTAGGAGCGAGACTAGGCGTTTGGCTCGGTCTTGGTAGGACAACGAGGTATTGCAGAAGGGAAATTGGCTTGTTTCTGGGGTACTTTTGTTTCATCCATGTCGCTGAGAAGCGATTGGGACAATCAGAATGAATGATACGCAAAGAGACGAGAGACGCTGGTTTTCCAAAAGATGCATATTTACTGCTTTCTTTGCTTGTAGCCAGAATTTCGCAAGCACTTTTGGCACTGGATTTATAGTAGATGTTGAGACTAATGCCCACTAGCTTTGTTCCTATGCAATGCGCAAAAATAGAAGTTGCTTTTAGGTTGATAATAAAGATAGATCGCTGCTTATGAAAGCCTCTTTGTTTTTTCCTTATGTGGCGATGATTTGTTGAGTGCGGGTTCTAACTAGTGGTGCCAGGGATGTAGATGCGCGTTCAGTTGGTCCCTGTCTCTTTTCCTCTGCATTAGTCACCAATTCAAACCAAAGGCTAGTCTGGAGAGCATTCTTTGACTGGACTTGAAGACATATCTAGGTGATATTTGTCATCCTAAGCCACTGTCGTAACTGCTACCAACTCTCACAAGAGCTCTGCAATCAGAGATAGACATGAATCCTAGTTTTGATATGTTCTGTTATAACTGACAAGTTGGTTCTTCAGCGATGTTTCACGAATTGCGAGCATGAGGAAGGTCTGAGTTCTGAGTCATCATCACACTATCACTAGACGATAATTTCGTCTACGCGTTTTGGTGATTAAGACATGTAACAAATGCATCCTGAAATGGTTCTGTCATGTGACTCACATCCTGGTTTCCGCTCTGTAAAGTTCAATCACCTAAATAGCAAAGAGTCAATCCTCATATCCAAGCAAGACTACGTGCGCACATGCATAGAAAGAGAGACGGCATCCTTGGTTTCGAAGAGATTGCAGGAATGGTACGACGACAGCACTAGAACAGATCAATGTGTAGTGGTAAAATGATGAGCTGCCATTAGCTTAGTCAATTCTTTTGTTCTTAAGCTAATAGCACAGAGTGGCACTGATGGCTCTATTCATCTAAGTGCACCTTTCAACAAAAGTTTTATCTTTTAGATTTAGATTTCATGCTATGTGAAGAAACTAACTGCCCTCTTTTTCCTTTTTCCTGTGGTATTGCTTTCTTGGATTGCAAACTTGTATGCTGAATGATATCTTAAACAATTTCAGGTGGTCGGGTCTCCACGTCCATGCCTCGAGATTATTTGAAAAAAAAAAAAACAGTTGCAATCCTTGTGGGCTTCCAGCGTAACACAACAGCATCATGATTATCACTGTCGTCCATCAAATAAATAGCTTAATTTCAATATTTTGACAGCTAAATCCCTAGAGATAATAAAGACAAGGGTAATCCATCCAGCCGTCTCTTCATCATTGAATTTTTAGAGTTCTGTTAATGAATGTTCGGAGCTCTTATCAAGCGACCAAATAAAAAAAAGAAGAAGCAAATTTACTTGGCTTTGTCTTTGAAAATCGAACTATTCGTTATTAAGTAATGCAACGAGTTCCCGAGCATAAACTCGTTAACTCAACTCAAATTTTCCAACCGTTCGACATATTATCAAAGTTTGAATGATCTTGTTTTTAACCCTTACGTCATTGATCACCTTGCCTCCATCCTCATGGCCAAAGAGATACACAGCACAATTGAAAGAGTCTGCTTAAAAATCCAAAAGAAACGGATGAACTCTAGCGGTTTTAACGGCCTCCGCCTCAGTCGACACATTTCATGCAATCCTAAGCCAACCGAGAACCACAAATTCTCGTCCAATCAACACTCTTTCATCTTTCGGGTCCTTTGCTGTGTCACAGGCTAGAACAGCTCGTTCTTGCAAATCCGTTGGACGACCGAAAAAAAAAATTCATCTTTTTAAATGATCCGTTTCTTGTTTCCGGCGCATTCAATCCCCAGTATCAAATCTTTTTCATGACCCAAGGAGGGAAAAGTCAAAAATTCATTGTGAACCTCCTTGGATTTGCGGTGTCTGGTTAATTCCGAGACAAAATGTCAATCTTGAATTCTGGGGTTCTTGTCAGGCTTCTTGAAGGCATGAATGAGAAGGAAGTGGCCTGCGAAGATCGAAAAGCTGCGCTGTTACAAATCAGAAGCATAATGCCTGTCTTGTCCGAAGGGGATCTCTGGCCTAACGGGGGATTTTACGTGAAAGTTTCCGATGCTTCACATGCCATGAATGTTTCTTTGCCTCAAGAACAAGATGACTTGATACTATGCAACAAATTACACCTCGGCCAATACGTGTATGCTGATAAGATGGAGGCGTCGTATCCTGTTCCGGTGCTCAAAGGGGTAAGGCCCATTCCTGGCAGAAATTTGTGCAGTGGGGCTCCTAAAGATCTTGTCCCCCTGGAAAATCTGGTGGAAATTTGGGCAGCATCCGATCCTGAATCAACAAAAGAAATAATTGATTCTACAGAAGAGAAACTGAAGCGGTCTGTGAATGCTTCGAGGGCCAATGCAGCTAGGAAAAATTGTGGAAGAGCTGCAAATAGCGTATCAAGAAAATGTGGCGTTGGTAGGACATCATCTGATTCAGATGGTTTGCTTGGACGGGACAAATATAGTGATTCTGATAGCACCATGTCATCAAGCTCGGAGACTTCAACCATAAAGAGAAGAAGCTGGAATGGAATGGATAGTACGAGAACAGACGAAATTTCAAAATCTCGAATTCTCAAGCACAAATTAAAGCCCATATCAATCAGCCAAGACCGTTGTAGATGTGTGAGTCTCAATATGTCTTTTTTCATGTTCATACGGATGACTGAGTGGAAAGCTAATGAGCATGAGAGAATTAATCCGCTATTGTGCTTGATGAACCTCTTGTCTAGTGATTAATTGCCTATTCAATTCAGTTTTATAGTTCTCATTGTAATTGCATTGTGTATTTAGGACAGTCCATGGGCTCTAACAATGTGCTGTAAGAGTTGGATCTCATGAATTTGAGCACGCCCTTGATTTTTGTGCAGAGAAGATTTCAGATTTTAGAAAGTGATTCACCAATCATCACCTGCAAAATGTAGATTCTAAAAGGAACCGATCTTTTGTGATAACAAAACTGCTTCTGGCATTCCAATATATGCTAGCTTCAAGTGACTGTTAACCGATTTCCTTCAAAATTTACATGACTTCAAAAATGACGCCTTTCATTTTCTTTTCTTTGTGTATCGACAGGTTTCTCCAGTCCAATCCCTGCATGAGAGCTCTTCTGACAGATCAAACTCCAAAATGATAAATAAAAACATCAGCATGGCTACAAAATCAATCAGGACATTGAAGAGTAGGAGTTCTGGAACACCAAAAAAAGGTGAAGTTCCCCTGGATCCAGCAGCATTGTTTAGCGCGGTACTAAACAGAACAAGAACAGAAGACAAAATTATATGGTCTTCTCTTCCCTCAGTCTTATCGAAGCTAGGCAAGGTGATGCAATCTTGAAACATACGTAAAGTCATTTGGTTCATTCTCTTTAAGGGAACCTCATACGCACAAAAAGACATGAAACAATTTTCTGAATGCACTCGTTCAATTCATGTTCCCTCAGGAGGTATTAAAACAAAGAGATGCAGCTTTGCTTGCTTCTGCGGAGGCTCTTCAAGAGGCCGCTGCGGCTGAAAGATTGCTGAAATGCCTCAGGTATGTGAACATAGATACTATAGTATTGCTTAGAAAAAGCTAATTTGTATGTAAATTCTGTTTTCTTGGCATTTTTTACTGTGGATACGAGAAACAAAAGTTCACCGGATAGTGTGACAACTTTCTGACTATAAATCCCTTTATCATATCACCTGGTTGGCTGGTCCTATTCTTGAGCTATGTAAGTGCTACCAGCTCCTAAAGTACAACAGATTGTGGTATTAGCAAAATCTGTCTGATGACTCTGTTCTTTTCTGGAAATTTCAGTGCATATTCAGAACTTCAGTCATCCAATTCAGAGGAAGAGCAGCCATCAGTTGATAAGTTTTTTAAGCTTCAAGATGACATGGCTCACAGTCGACTAGTTATTCAGTCACTGACCAATGCTACTCCAACAAAAGCAGCTGAAATCGAGCCCAATAGCGCCAAATCCACAAGGGAAGCTTTTAAGCTTGCATTAGATAGGAAAAGAAATGCTAGTTTGTGGATTAAAGCAGCATTGGCATCTGATCTAGTTCCATTATCTACGACTGCAAGATCTGGCCTTCCATCTATTGAAGCCACTAGAGCTTTCAAACGGTCTTGTGTTGGATCTGCTGACACTGTGCCAACAAGAAAGCACAAGAACTGTGAGGTAATGATCGGGGTGACATCTGAGAATCACAAACATGAATGGTCAAAAGGAAGTTCTTCAAGTGCAACAGCTGATTTAGCCAATTCCCTGCAAGATGAATTCAGAACATTGTTTCTGGCATACGTGGAGCAATACTTAGATGGGCTTAAGAGCCAATTCTCCATAGAATCTATATCGAATAGCCAGACAATCCATGTGATGCTTCAGGTCAAACGAGTAAGCGATTGGTTGGACGTCATGGCGAAAAAGGAGGCTAGTTATGCAAAGATTGGATGCAGGGGGAGTTCTGATTTGGAGGATCCAGAATTTGAGGTCTACAGTAGGGTTAGAAACAAAATTTATAGGATTCTGTTGATGCACATTGAGAAAACTGCCCTGTCATGGGAAAGTAGGAATACAGGTGCGGAAGCTTGAGTGCTTCGAGAAAGAAGCTGCTTTTGACTCTTGTAACTAGATTGATGGACTTCCATAACCAGAGATAAAACTCCAAGTATACGTTATCCCCATTTCAATTTGTAGAATGTTGGGGATTGACTCATTGTATGTTTTTGCACATATGTAGCAGTAGATGCAATTATCTTCTCTACTGACTGTATCTTCTTCCATTATGAAATCGCTAAAGTTCAAATTGGTGAATTGTTGTTGGTGTATTTCTCACACAGGATGTAGCTTAGCAGTTTGTACCTTCATTTCTGCTATTACAGTGCATCTTCGTTGATAGCACACCGATCTGATTTCCGAGTAAGCAAATTTTAGGTTATTATGAGTAAGTTTGATCAAGGATAAGTAAATACAATGAGAATCCTTTTGAATATGGAAGAGTTGATAACCATTTCTCATCAAATCTGTGTGTATACTTCAACTAACTGCACTTCACAAAGCAGAGTCCAGTCAATCATGATGACTAGTTCTATTAATTGAAGTCTCAGGAAGAGGTACCAGCCTCATTTTTTCCTGATTAAGCAATCAATGCTGTGAGATTTTCTTGGAGTTCTTTTCTCGTATTCAAGAAGCCAAGAAGAGTGCAGATGCAAGTTACCCTACTCTCTCTTTTGAATGTGGACTAAAAGACACATGGATAAAGAGAAATGAAGAGACTCGCAGGCTGTTTTTATTGCTTTAATTTCTCTGTCTTCACAAAATTATGTAGAAAAGGGAAAGCAACGGAAAGCTGATTGATCCTGGAACTGCTGGGTGCTAGTAAAGAATGATCATCAGAAAATCTTATTTATATTCAAGTGTAAAGTTTCCACATTTGCAGATGAGAGGAAAGCATATCAAAAATACATCAGTGGGGTATAATACATGGGTCTTTCCTTCTCAACTAGCAACTTTACACGAGACATTGAATTGGTCTCCTAGCAGAAACATATAGCTTTTTGAGGCAGATACTTGGCATTTATGGAGGAGAGAAGGCTGAGATGAATTTATATGATCACCCTTGATAATCACTGCCAGCAAGTCGTCCATCAACAAATCTCAGAACCAGTAAGTGAGATTGGTCCTTCAACAATATTAAGCGATTGCCTTATAGCAGACGGACAGCGATTCCTGCTTTTCATGGTAATTTTATTTGCACGATAACCTCTTCCTTTACTTTACAGTGAGCAAGATTGACTTAACTTCAAATCGAGTCCAATGTCAATTCCGTTATACGCAATCGGTGCATACATCCACAAGTCATCAGAACTCAAGAGCTGTACAAATTTACACACAATAAAAAAATATCAATGTACATATCTTATTTTTCGGTAGCTTTGTGGTATGAAGGTGCTGTAGGATGATGTGGTATAATCTAACCTAACTTCTTCAATCTTTTGGGCTTACCTTTATTTGCAGCTGTAGAAACTTGACGTAGTGAACAGCTTCTTCAAGCATTGTGCTAATGTCAACCTGTGAACAGAAACAACATTAAAACACGAGACTAGATGTTACTATTCAAGACATGAACTATGATGCAGGATATTGCCCAATTACCTTAGATCCATTTGGAACAAGGTTCTGTAGGATTCTGAGGCGCTCATTTATCCGTTCTCTTCTTTTCTATAAGATGAAAGCAATGATCTGTTACTTTGTTATTTTTGGAGATAAAAGATCTGTCAAGAACTTAAACATTCCGGAATTGGACAAATAGATAGCTTTTTTTTTTTTAAGTACTTACTCTTGCATAGAGAGACTGCGGATCTGTCGCCGAGCCCCTGCTGGCTCGGGTTTTGCCATTAGGACTGAGAGATGCAGTTTCATTTGGAGTCAAATTTGAAGTAGCTCCTCTGTTCAGCTCCAGAGAAGAGCTAGAATCATCCTCTGAGAAGCAAGTACTCAAGCTCTGCCCAGCAGGCCGAACCTTAGCTTCTTCATGGCTTTTGCTTGGAAAATCAAGTTTCAGGTCTTTCCTTAACCTTACGCTTCTCTTGTTTCTCTGGAACATCAGAGAAATAGAATCATAAGGAACCCAGAATTATTATTAATTCACACAGCAGATCATCAAAAAAGCAGTATCCCGGATGCAAACTAGTGATTTTTGGGCATGTACAACTTTTACTCACCTCTCCTAGGCTCCGAGATCTTTTCCTAGAACTGTCATTTGAATCATCCATATCATCTTTCGCAGTTGATATCACTGGTGGAATCTCAGACCCCCATTTGAGCTGCAGAGGGTTCTCCATAAAAGCCATTTCTCGGGGGCTCCCATGAGACTCAACAACTTCGCTCATTTCTCGGTTTGGTGAATCGTCCCCTTCAATGAGATGAGAATCTGTTTGTCTCACATTGCTCATGGAAAGTTCATTGCACAGGGAGCTACTCCTAGTGGCCAGAATTGGATTCAAGTCACTCAAATAGTAGTTGCTATGACCTGAACTAGGGAAATGAACGCTACTAACAACACTGTTATGAAATTCATCATGTGGAGAAGAAGAATGTGAATTCGGATAGAGAGTATCAGAAGAACAGAATGAACTTCCATCAACCCCTGATAGGTTCACAGATTCAAAGGTCGGCAGATATGCGGAATGCAATGCGAAATGCGAGCCTCCATATAGCTCGGCTGGCAATGAACACTTATCGAGCCGTTGAGCCAAGAGGTCAGACTCTTCAGAGAAGTACATTCCACTGATAGAGCCCCAGTCGACCTCAAAATTAGCCCCAAAAGTTTCCATTGTAATTACTAGAAGCTTTGTGGGAGAATAAGATTGCTATTTTTCTCAGTTGTGAATGATAGGAGAAGCTAAGCTTTGTGGGAGAATAAGACTGCTATTTTTCTCAATTGTGAATGATAGGGGAAGCTTGAGTAGCTCAAAGCTTGAAGAGAAACAAGACCCACAGCACATATTTATATGATAACAAGAAGAATGTGGCAAAGGATTGACTTTCATTTTGCATTATAAAATCATAGTGATTATATTTTTTTCCTGCTAGTCACTTAGTTTCTTTATTATCAGTTATGAGTACACCGGAAAGTCCCAGTTCTTTGTAACTACTTCACCCAAGTAGCAAATGGGGCCATGTACAGCTAAGAGGAGGAACTAAACTCTTCAAGCCGTGGTTGGATTAGACTAACGCATGCCTCTTCATTGCCGTTAAATGGCCCCAAGCTTAACTAAATAACAGCAACGCGATCAATTCCAAAGTCAGATACAATCATTGAGAACTGACTAGCTGTGATCAATTGGTTTCATATAAACTGATCAATTATTTGAACGGAATGCAGGTACAATTCGGTAAAAGAGGAAGAATTGAGTTATCACGTCTGGCTACAGAGAGAACATGCTGGTCTTCTGGAGTACAATAACCGTTGAATTAATTATGTAGAAGCAGGCTATCAAAGGATGGTGAGAGATCACAGAAATTTGTCTGAGATTCTTAGAATTGCCTAGACCAGACAATAGATCATCTCACTCGGATTCTTGCCTCCTCAAAGTTACTATCTCTGATCAAAACAATTTTTCTGCAGCTTGCATGCATGAAAATCCGATTAGCTGCTTCTTTGTCAGCTGCATGCATCTATGAGCACATTATTAAGATGCATAATAATCTTAATAGATGCACATTGTGCTGATAAGCCGAGTCATTCTCACATTAATCTTACTTACATTAGATGATTAGCTTGTAATGCTATAGTTTATAGGTCAAATTGCAAGAGAAGGTTTTGCCTTTAGGGCATTATGACACTGAAACAGTTTGACCCCACTCGAAAGCCCTTGGTAGATAAAATCAAACGAGTGACATAAGGTGAGGAGGCAATTTTCTGGGACAAATGGCAGCTGATCCAAAGTCGTTCTTTATGACCGATGAGAGAGAAAGAAATGAAAATTTCCCTTCCACTCTTTACACTTTTGAGCAGAATAGACAGAGCATCAAGATGGACATGATAATACTATTTCATTCATCATTCTTGAAAGTCACTCCAATGAGTTTTGAACAGTATGAAGAAAAAATATAATTTATCAGCTTGAAATGCATATTGTGCACTTTAAAGTAATAGAAAAGTTTAATCCCCCAAATTTTAAGATGAAAAAGAAGAGATTATCAACATTGATAAACTTCGGATACATGCTAAAACAAGTGACTGATTGATGTAAATCAGAGCTAAGCCTTGTTTTGTTACCAATCAATCAACGGCCATGCAGAAATATGTGGGAGCACTCGCAAAACGATTACCATGGAGTTTTCTTTGACACTTGTAACTACATTACTGCAAAGACTAAAAATTCAACCTTGAATTTCACAGGTCGGATCGAAAGGATGAACTCCCAGACGCAGATGTATGTCTATCCCAATAAATTTTGAAGGTTCATTCAGATAGCACATCAAAATCCGCAAACCCGGGGAGAAAATGCAGGGGCTACTGTACTTCATAAAAAATAGCGCCTCAGCTCTCAGCAAAAGCTAGGACACGTGATATTACTTTGTCCGACACTCAATTGACGGATGTAATTAGCACAATAAACAACTACTAAACAAACACAAAATCTGGGAATTGTTCAAGAGAATAAATTCAAGATCAAGATGCCATATAAAGTATCAGCAATGTCAACGAAACAGTAAATGCATCGTAATTTTATATGTGGGAATTAGCTAGGGACATCGATGTCAGTTCTGAACTATTAATAAAACATTAGCCACACCATAAGTCTTTAATCATTGTAGGTCAGAACCCTAGCAGCAACCATCTCAGAAACCCTAGCGGCCACCCCATAAAGCTTCTGCAAACAAATATGGATTGAAACTCGGAATAGAAGTTCGTCTATAGATAACAAGAAAGAAACCCATTGGATTCATTTTTTCTCAGCTTGTAACTAATATCAACTGATAATCCTGGACAAGCTGGAATTAATCAGAAGATGAACGAAACTCAAGGAAAAAACCCCTAATTCTTTTCTTTTTCTTTAACAGATGAACGAACCAGAAGAAGAAGAAGAAGAAGTCTTCCATGCACATCTTCCAAAGTCCAAACCTAAGATTCTGCCGCTCATTTCGCTTCATAAAGAAAGCCCAAGGAAGCTTCAAACTCTAGAGATGAAAGCTACACCACCAAGAAAAACTTATTTTCATGGGAGAAAACATAAATAATCTGGGTTCTCAGCCGGCCATTATTGCACGATCTCTCCTAATGAAAGTCCGTTGTACTTTCACATTCTGTTAGAAGAACAAAAAGAAAGCAACCAAATCTTGGCCTTTGACTTTGGAACACCATATCTAACTCTTATCTGATCTGATCATATCATCTTTTTCGCGTGCAAATATCTTTAATGTCCCTTCGTTGTTGTTATGTGTGATTGTTTCACGTATTCCCCGACCTGCACGTCCCGCGAATCATTTGTTGTCATTAAAAGCTCTTGTCTGCAGAAGTTAAGAGCTTGCAGAGAAAACAGTAGCATTTATCATGCAAACTGTACGATGTGATCACTCGTAAGCATTGATATAAATACTAGGGTTTATTTTTTTGGTCTCTTTACGGGATCACACACACACACACACACACACACACACACACACACACACACACACACACAACATGTTTCGATCGACATCATTGGTGTTGAATATTCTTCGGCCTTCTGGCATGAGACATCTTTTAATGCTTTCAACTTGGGTCACGAAAGTTTTCTTCATGTTTTTCGACAGATCAAAATGGAGGAACCGAAGGTTGTTGTTTCTTGTTTATTCATGCAAACACTTCGATCCACGTACGTACCCATAACTCTTTGCCTGTTAGCTCACAGACAAAAGGAAAGGCCAAAGAGACATCCGAATCTCAATCTCATATAGCCGCATCTCATCAATGTACTTTGATTCTATCTTATGTCTCCGATCATTTACTGTCAGGCATTAAAAGACCGGCTATATGCTACTGGCCTCAGGAAGATCGATAAAATGTCTTCACAAAATTATCACTACTTTTTTTTTGAGGAACAACATTTATATTTTGGGTCATCTCTGTATTCACCAAGATCATTTGTTTCCTATATTTCTCATCCATTGTCGAGTATACCAAAAAACGAAGAATGAGAGTTAAACAGAGCGTAAAACGAAACGAAACGAAATAAAACAAAAAAAAGAATTCTCGTCTTTGAGTTTCACCCCTTTTGAAATATGTTTAAGTTCCCAGACAAAAGCACATTGGTTTTACTGTGAACAAATTACACCTGAAAAATTAAGTGATTTGAAAAAACATAATTTTGTGAAACATTTATAGAAAATGTTCTTCCAATCTCTGGGGGAAAAAGTACAACTTGACATCTTTTCAAGTATAAACGGAACTAGATAAGAAGATGTCAGAATAAGTCGTAATCTTTCAGGCACTCCCTAGCTAGGATGGAAATAGCTGGCCAGGTTTTACCAATTTATCAAGTTGCTAGATGTCAATAACAACTTGATAAGAGTTTCTTTCCAAGTTGTTATAAGATTTACTCCAATTTTGTGAGAAATGAAGTCAAACAGAAAGGGGAAGAAAAGCTGCACAGAGGAACCGCTTGCCCATTTAGGTTTATTTAATATATATTCAATATTCTATACGAACTTGCACTTAAAGGTCATGTTTTCTTAACATAAAGAAGCTACAACCTTTGCAACATCTTCCTTATAATTAAGAAAGTAAAAGGTTAGGAACCTTAAAATAATATGTTTTGGACACGGCTCACACTTTGGAACTGCTTCTAATATGCAAACATTATAACTTCGACATCGAGAGATGTGTAAGTGTCATTAAGTTGTGGTTTGAGAAAATGGTTTTGCGGGCGAACGCAACAGTGGTTTGGGGCTGAAATCGAGATGCTCATTACAGTATTGCTAAAGGTTAGAAGAACGTGGCAGGGCGATTAATTCAAGATTCATTTATAACCCCCACTTCACAGCATCAACTCCATTAAAGTGGCCATCTCGTGGTGATTCTATCCAGAAAGATTCTTAGGAAAACGTGTAATAAATGAAGAGACACATTTATGAAGTATTGATGCTATTTAGGTTCTGTCGACAAGGATCCACGGGGAAAAGAGATTATCATATCCTTCGAGAGTAGATTTTTTGCTCCTCCACGCTTATGACTTGATGAGTGGCCTCACAGAAATATGGTCTGTAACCTACGAGAGTGAGTAAACGTTCTTTCTGAGTACCTAATGATAAATTTTACCTTTGTACATTAGTTAAGATACGAATAAGTTCGCAATAATTTCTATAGACCATAGTACCTGCTTTAGTAATTTAAATTTTATTCATCTTCCATAGCATGTTTAATGAACCCTGACTAACGTGTGCTCAAGGGCACTCATCTACTTGCTCGTAGAAATAAAGAACAAATTTTTGTTACCATAAGGTCTCGAAGCTTAGGATCACAAACTTATGACTTCGATACCATGGTAACTTAATCGTTATAATGTGACATGAATATCGATTTTTCTTTGCATTTGTGTATAGTAAAATGAAAAGCATCACCGATTGAGTAAACGCTTTCTTTAGAGGCAAGATTCACGCATGTCATTGATGAAGATTGGAATCTCATATTATTGCAAGCAAGATTTCTTTTCCTTTTTAACTTTTCTCTTTTTCAGGACGGTGCATTAAAAAAAATGTTCATGCGTGAATGGCCAACACTATATTTATTCTTGAATTGAACTGTATAATTGGTGGCGTGAAAAAGAATTAATTCATGTTCATCTCA